GATAATTTGGACGGTATTATGGAATATAAATACATACTAACCATTGGAATAGTGATAAAAGAGCTGTATGTCAATGGAGACAATTCTGGATGTTGTCATTAAAAACTTGGGAGGGGGAGATTTTACAATGCAGCTTTTTACAAAATATTTTTTTTTCGGTATAATAACACAAATATTGACCCCAGCTTCGGTTGATATACAGATTTGTCGACCCCAGAGAGTAGTGTTATCCGAGGCGAAGCTCTATTTTAGTATTAGTATTAAACTTTGATGAATATCTTAAATTCCTAAAATATAGCAGAAACAGAATGCGAACTGGTGTAATAGTAAAATACAAATTAAAACTAAATCGTATCATCATGTCGATTAGGATCTCTAGCGGAAATGTTTGCCTAGTTACCGAGATAATCTTCATATTTTCGAATTACCATTGCATTTCAGCGATACTCGAACAACGATATTCAATGATCACCCGACTATCCATAGCTCTGATTACTATTCAGTCTTTGTACTGTAGATTGGCCTTCTTTTCTCCGTGGAACCTGGATGACCAGTGCCCGAGGTCACAAAATATCATGGGGTCAAGCGTGGTATAGATCGAATGCCGCTGCTAAAACAATTCTAGGACACCGCGAATATCACAGTTGTTCATATCATCGGTGGACACACATCCTTGGAGATATGATATGATATGATATGATAAGATATGGAGATATCAACACAATTATGATATCGACCTATCGACACAGACCATATGATATACAAGTATCGAAACATATCCTGTGATATAGTGTCATTGACATGGGTTATTTATGACAAAAAAGAACACCATGATACTCACTCTGTGCGATCAACAGGTTTCCTCAATGATTCAAAGTTCTTCTTTATCCCCCATTTGATATATTGTAGGTAATTTCCAAAATAGTCAGTTGGTGAAAAGTCAAGCTGTAAAAATATAGGTCGTTAGATAATTGCCTTTGTTGTGAGGTAACATTGATGCCATATAACGTTTAAATAAGCTATTATACATGTACTGTATATATGATAATATTTTATTTTTAGAATTTAATATTGAAAATTCCACACTTATCAAAATCAACAGGATCCGACTGGCAGTTGTCAAAAAGAAGTGTAAAATTGTTAGTTATGTTTCTAAAAAAAATCATATAAAATACATAAATGGTAATGAACAACGGGAATAATTGGCAACACGTACTGATTCATAATACTCGTTAAGTTCAGTGTCATTCTTTATCCAGTCTGGAAAACCAATATTTCTGTGCATTAATAATATCTGAAAAAAAGCAACAGTTTTAACATACAAATCAAAGAAACCTTGGAAACAGCTAAGGATATTTGTGTACAATTAAAGAATATTTAAAATAACTACAGATTTAATATTAGCCACTTAAACCAGATGCATCTCGGATGTAGCTCTGTCTTTGAGATACAATATTTGAAAAAAAAACAATCTGACTCACAGTAGTTGATGCTGAGAATAACTACTACCAGTAACACCTGACCGGAGCGAACCGACCACTTGGCGCAATCACAAATGGTGCAAAATACCACTCAGGTGATACCAGTCTGTGACACCTATATGTAAAGCTTTGGCTGATCTGCACTGGCTCGGAAGATGAATTCTGATTGGCTAAAAAAACAAAAAAAACTTGTGGCGTTGAATGCACGTTCATTGTCAGTATTGTTATGCAAATTCAAACTAGCTAATCATTTACAACCCTCCGAGCCAGTGCAGATTAGCCCTAAAGCTTATTTTGAATCTGTTGTTTGTTTGAGATATCAGAAATTAACGGATTTATGCAAATTGGTAATTTATGCAAATAAAGTCTCTTTGGCTTGGCTTCTCGATCGAAGATTCAAAGACAAGGTCCACGTTTGTCACAGGCTCGATGAGCCAGAAAAAAACAACAGAACGATAACATTAGGGGCCAAAGCCCTGCTGGCTCAGACCCTTACAAACATAACGATATAATAATACTGCTCCAAGCTCAAATGAGTTGGACCACTAATTATTAATTAATTATCTGAATACATGTTGGCACATTATTCTGCTTCTGTCAAGTTCCCTGATCATAGTAACAATTACACATTTAATCATCCAAGGTTAATATTATAATTCAAAGTGATTATTTCTAAGTATCAAAATGGTGAAGAGCGAAATAATTTCTTAAATATGCATATTAGTATTTTCCACCAAACAAAAGTGCAAGGCTTAACCGAATGTTATTCTTGGCATTTCAAATGTCATATCGTACATCTTACAGTGAGGATGGTATTTGCTTTTGATCACATTGTTCTATTTGACAAAATGTGTTTGTTTGTTTGTTTTTAGATACACCAATTGTCGCACATTCATTTCATTTGGGTTATTTGTCCCTCTGTATTGTGATTGGTGATGTGTAAAGCACGACTTATGTTTGTTCTCCATTCCCAATAGCGAACATGTGTGTAAAGCAATGATCCATATTACCCATATGACTACAATGTTTGTTATGGGAAGGGGAGAGTGAGAAATCGTTCTTTACCTGGAAAATGATATTTTTGGTACATGAAATATATCATTATTGACCACAATAATACGACCTGAGTAATTCTCTACATACTGCCGGACTCAAAAATTGCATCAATTCCCTGAAATCTCTATATTGAAACCATTTACGCCATATAGCCATATAGCTTGTTAAAATCCGACAAGCGGTTCTTGAAATAACTGTAGACATGGAACATAATATTGATATTTCTATGTATTGGTACTGGACTATTGTGTGGGCATAACTTACTTTTTGTTTGGCAGTATTTTTCGTAAGTTCGTCCATCCATGAAGCGTCGTCTATCATTTGTAGCAAGGCATCTTGTATGTAATCAATTATCTGATTGGTCTGTTGAAAGTAACATGTCTGAATTAATATTGAATTCGTTCCAGGTGTCAAATGCAATTTGACAGACAATCATGCAAATGAAACTTGGCACGAAATATTCAGATACAATAATGTCGTACAACCACATATAACGGGATGTGGGAGCTCACATTCAACATATTTAATATCTATTTTCCGGGTTTCTTTATCTTCAACAATGCTTCTAGTACAAAATGGACTCCGAGATCTCGATGACTGTGATTGTTTTTTGCCCATCATATAGTAGTGCCCCCAAGATAGTGGTACAGTATCCCCGATCGCGAATGAGTATGACACACTACTAGAGAGAAAATCAATTATCGTGACGCTCTCGCAATAAACGAGATCTGGGCGGCCTTTCTCGTCTAAAGTATTTTCTATTGTATGTCATGCATAATTATAAAAAGTTTACTACATCACCTACCAGAAAGTCCGCGGAAATAATAAATTTCATTTATTACTCATTAGGCTTAATTACATATTACAGCCCCGAACGGAAACAATTAGGGAATATACCCGGGTCCACAAAAAACACCCTAGGGTAGCATTTCCTATAGAAAAAAAGGCCTCCCCTGAGGGATCACCCTCAGGGCGCTCACGCGTGTGTGGCCTGATCCGTTCATTCTCTCTTGTTTCCACTACCAATGGGTGCAGATATTTTTAGCTCCGCTGCTATGCACGACAGGAGAACAGGTTACAGTTTTATTACTGAGATTATCTACAAATCTAGTGTTGGTGATCGACTCCATTATGGCAAAGGCTTTCTATTATTAGGGGCCCCATTTTTTACCTATTTTAGTTGAATCGACGAGTTAGTTAGTTTCCCTGTTTGATGTTACCATGGTGGACAAACACCAATCAACCGCTTTTGCTGGGGGATCTGAGTTTCCAGTCACCGCGGTTACCGATGTTGGTAAACAGCGTATCCCCACTAGGCCGCTGACATCGACACCGAGTACTGAGGTGGAATTGGTACAGCCTTAAGGGACTGAACCGGTTCAATCCATCGAGACTTCATCGGTACTAACGCAGCCTGAGTTGCTTGCACAATCACAGGGACAGGCCATGTTGCCTTCCCTTACTGATACTAGTCAAGGTGACTAGCTCTCTCATGGTGAAAAGATGGCTTGAAAGGCCTGGATGCGTAATCTGGCTCCAAAAGTCAACTCCCTTCTGCAGTCTCAGGGTATGACACAGGAGGACCTGGGGGGCAAGTCCGGTGGGGATGGGGACACGGGCTGAGATACTGCATGTCCCTCCACCTCCAGGGCTAGGGTCAGGTGTGTCCCATCCCCCCTCTTTTAGAGGATTAGTGGGGGAACAACTCACATCAGTGGGAAAAGGAGCATCCACCTTTTTATAGAAGGGGGCCCTCTCTCTGGAGCAGATCGCCTTACATGTTCTCTTCTTTAATCCTCACACCCCCTCAGGCTTGGGCTGACCAGGCATCGCTTCTTGCATCTCACCAAGCTGTGTAAAGTGCCTCCACTTGTGACTCTGCGAGGGGGGACTCCAGTGTTGGTACCCCTGTATAGGGTGGTATTCAACCCTCTTATGGGGGAGCTTTGTTGTCTCTCGTCCCAACTTTGTCGGGGCAGTCACAGGATACCCAACCAACTGGAACCCAGCTGACCCTTACCAATATGCAGTTAAGGTCACAGCTTGTGAACCGGGCAGTGATAGCTGCAAGACTTTTGTTTTGTATGGGGATGGTGGTAACCCCCACCCACCACCCCGATGGGAGAGTCACCTTTGGACCCATTATCATCAGTGGAGACCATGCCCACTGGTCAACTCCCTGGGCACCTCGTGTGGCCCAAGCTATGGAGGGGGCTCAGAGAGCAATGGAGGGGCGATTGTTACCTTTCAGGGGGAAAAGGACAAACAGCTTTAACCTGGTTTCGAAGCAGCCATGTCCCATGCCTTCCGTTAGGTGAATCATTACCCCATCAGGGCTACATGAATCATTGATGGGTACCCGGTGTGGGACACTCACGAGGTACCACAGCCTGCTCCATGGGTTCCCGTGTTGATCCCAGTACCCATACCTTCGTTAAGGTGGGTAGTGTGGATCGGGAAGGCAACATTGCGTGGACATTTGACCGGCACCAGTGCCTACAAGTGCATCAGGCTTTATGGGCTTAGACTCATAAATTTTATAGAATGGGTTTCTTTGGCGTTACAGTGTCAGCTCACCTTGCTAAATTCTGACTGAGTGCTCAGCAACGAACCTCGATGGGGCCAGTTCCTGGCTGCGCAAGGAGTCGCTATGTGCGATCCCTTGCAAGTCCATACAGCCCTCTTGGCAGGAGCGGTTTTGGTTGAGCGAGAGGCAGTTCTGAGTCATTGCGCCTATCCTACTCCAGTGGGAGACGAGTTTAATCACCTGCGAAGAAGGCCTTGGGGTCGTGATCGGCTATTTGTGGCTTGTTAGTGGATGCGATGAACGATTTGGCAGTTGCTGAGGATCAGCGTATCCAATTAGTGCAATCGTCCCTATTGGCCAAGGTAGCTAGTCCTTCTGGTCAACATCTCAAATCAAAACTGCAAGGTGGCTCAGGCAGTAAGTCCTCCGCTCAGGCCACAACCAGCAAGGATCAAAGCGCTCATGGTCTCCTTTGAAGAGGCAGAAGGAGATTAGTAGGGGGAAGCCCAAGAAACGTGGCTTTGGTGGTGGGCATTTTGACACTTCCGGGGTCCAGGAGGCTGCAAAGTATATTTGAAGGTTTCTCTGGCTGCCTGGACATGGATGGCAGTACGACTTCAGGTATCCCTCCCCAGGGACCTTGGGCTCACTCTCCCCATTTTCGTCCACCCATAGTGGAGTCAGGAGTTGGGGAAGCACTACCTCTCAACCCCCGTCTGCTCCTTCCCGTGGGATCGTGCCTTATGCAGCACATACCAGCTTGGCGCAGGAGAATTTCTGATCCCTGGACACTCGTAGTAGTGTCATGTGGATATCGGTTTCCTCTTCGGTCTCCTCCTCTTTTGACTCTTCATCTTCCCTCAGGTCCTTTGCCTAGGGACGAGGTCAAGGTGAAGACGATCCGACAGGAAGTATCCAGCCTTCTGGAGAAAAGGGCGATAGGGCCTAGTGGAGAACCCGCATTTATTACCAGGGTTCTATTCGCACATCTTCCTCATTCCCAAGGGTTCGGGGGGTGGCGTCCAGTCGTAGACCTCAGTCGACTGAATGGGTTTGTAGAACTAAAGCGCTTCTGAAAAGAAACGCGAACTTTGGTACTTCTGTGCTAAGACAAGTGATCCAGCTGCTACACCGGTCATCGGTCTATCTGCAGCCATAACTTGAAGACTGGTTATTACACAACCGAGAGAGGGAGGTGTTAGTGGAGCACGCAAGATTGACACTAATGCTCCTCCACGAGTTGGGCTTTATAATAAATATAGCCAAGTCCAACCCAATACCGCCCACAGCCTGGTTTTTCTGGGTATGCAGTTTGACACGGAGTACGGCTTGTTCGCCCCTCTCAGGAGAGATGTGACTCTCTTGCAGAGCTCACCAGCCAACTCCGGTCGACGGGAATGGTTTCGATGCACAAACTGATGTGGCTTATTGACAAATGACTTCAGTACATCATCTGGTTCCTTCAGCAGCTCTCGGGCCTCATCCGATTCAGAGGTGCTTACTGGACTACAGGGTTCACATGCGGATCCTGACGTTCAGGGTTCAATTGTCGAACAAAGCGATGACAGCTTTGCCAGCTTCGGTACTTCTGTCAGTGCACTCGGGCAATTGGCTGCATCACTTACTTCCACATTCCGATTCACCACTCAAGCAGCCGGTATCCCAGATTCCTATTACAGGGCAACAAATACGAGTTTACCGCCCTCCCTTTGTGTCTGTGCATGCCACCATACATCTTCACAAGAGTGCTAAGACAGGTGACCCAGCTGCTACACCGGTCATCAGTCTATCTGCAGCCATATCTTGACGACTGGTTATTACACAACCGAGAGAGGGAGGTGTTACTGGAGCATGTACGATTGACGCTAATGCTCCTTGATGAGTTGGGCTTTATAATAAATATAGCCAAGTCCAACCCAATACCGCTTCACAGCCTGGTTTTTCTGGGTATGCAGTTTGACATGGAGCACAGGCTTGTTTGCCTCTCAGGAGAGATGTGACTCCCTTGCAGAGCTCACCAGCCAATTCCGGTCGACGGGAATGGTTTCGATGCACGAACTGATGTGGCTTATTGGCAAATGACTTCAGTACATCGTCTGGTTCCTTCAGCAGCTCTCTGGCCTCATCTGATTCAGAGGTGTTTACTGGACTACAGGGTCCGCATGCGGAACCTGATGTTCAGGGTTCAATTGTCAAACCAAGTGATGACAGCCTCCCTTTGATGGAAGGATGCACAGAACTTGGAAATGGGAATACCCCTAGAACCCTCGCTGACTCTCATTACAGATGCACCGCTTCAGAGATGGGGTGGTCATTTGATGGACCTTCTGGTCCAAGGGATGTGGCCATCCACATATTGGGACTGCCATATCAATTGGGGGGGAAACATTCCCCCACATTGTCAAAGCTAGCAGAGGAGATTCTACCTGGGAAACCAGGTGGAGCTATCGGCTCACCACCTTCCGGGGATACGCAACAGTGCTGTGGACACCCTCTCGAGACGTATTCGGTTCCAGGACACCTAGTGGCAGATCCCGCAAAGGGTGGTGGACTCGCCATTTTGTCTCTGGTACGGGCCCCGGATAGATCTGTTTGCCAATCACAGGAATGCCAAGCTCCCGACATACGTGTCACTTCTCCTGGAGATGAGCGCTTTCGCCACAGACACTATATCGATCTCTTGGAGTCTCATGGATGCTTACACTTTTCCATTCTTCCAATGGTGCACCAAGTGTTGGAGAAGTTACGACTCAAGCTCACTGGCCTTCTGACTTTGGTGGTGCCCAATTGGCCAGGGAAGGTCTGGTTCCCAATGTTGCTGGAACTACTAGTCCCATAGAGTTGCTAGATCTTCCGGATCTGTTGTTCCAGCTGGACAGCACTCTACCGATGAGCCCCGCACTATTCTCTCTTCATGTGTGGAGGCTGTCAATAAACTCGTGCAAGCGCAAGACTTTTCTGCAGAGTTGTCCAAGTTCCTCGCTTTGGCACAGTCAGACGGCACCATACATTTGTACGAATCCAGATGAAGACTGTACATTAATTGGTGTGATGGATAGGAGCTTGATCATCTCAGTCCCTCTAATAGCGAAGTAGCCGAGGAAAATCTATATCGACATTTCTTGGATATCAGTCAGTTTTATTCCCAGTTTTATCAGAATCGGCTGGACTGAAACTGGCTTTGAGTTCTATTATGATACAACTGTTTAAGTCTTTCCACTCGAAGAGGCCACACGCCAAGAGCCTAGCAAATCCTCCTGACTGGGACTTGTTGTTGGTTCTAACGGCATTATGACACCCCCCTTCGAGCCTATGGATAGGCATACATGAGGTATGTAACTATGAAAACAGTTTTTCTTTTGGCTCTGGCGTCAAGTAGACGGTGCTCATAGACAGGGGCACTGTCCTTTAGTGATGGATGTACCTCCTTTATGAAGACTCAGTTGGGCTTTCTTGCCAAGAATCCCAGGGCGTGACCCTGAGCCGATCGTCATCCCACGCCTCACTAACTTAGTGGACCATCAGGAATAGATTCTATGTTCTGTCCGAACTCTAAGCTAGTACAAATGTACTTCAACCGCACCAAGGTGTCTAGGGCAGTGAGAAGCGCATTTTTGTCTGTTATAGGCAGGCAAACAGAGCCACCCTGCTTCGAATATCACCATATCACCATACAACTTGATTCTGATTCTGATTCTGATATAAACTGATTCTTCATTGGCTTGTTTGGAGTGTCACCAGGTGAGGGCACACAAAGTGCATGGGGTAGCCAACTCATTGGCTTTGATGTCTGGGGCCTCACTCGAGCAGGTGCTCCGAGCAGGGTTCTGGAGATCTCAGAATGTCTTCAGTACCTATTACCTGAGAGACTTCCAAGCGCTGGAGAAGGGTCTCTACAGGTGGGTTCGAATTCCAATGGTGACGGGTCAGACATTGTTCATCAACCCAGCCCGCACCACCAAGGGGTCCTATGTGGGAAAGTGTTAGCACGATAGTGTCTTCAGTCGAAACCAGCCTTCTTTGCTTGACGCTGTTGGTTTTGATCGGCGCTGTCAAACCCCAGCAATACACTGTTTTTGATGCATTAGAATTGTTGGGGCCCTATTTTATTGTTCAGTCGGCCAGCTTTAGCAGCCTCCCTAAATTGGGGGGTCTACTCTCGAGGCACCTGGTTCCTGAAGTGTCGCCTGAGTGGTTGTATCCCAGGACAAGACTCCTTGTTAGTGAGTAGTTTTAGATTTCTCTCAGTTTTTTGACGTATATTTCAGTCATCGGAGCTTCCCCACCTCGTGAGCGTGCTTCTCTGCCTAACGAGTAATAAATGAAATTTATTATTTTCACAGATTATTTTCTTGTAGGTGATGTAGTAAACTATCAGGGTTGCACAAACCCATTTGTTTACCTAATCATACCGACCAGAAAGTCCGTGGAAATGGCCAACCTCCCCCACAAGCTTCCGGTGGCCCGTTGGTGCAGCGGAAACGTTTGTGAGAATGAACAGATCAGGTCTCACAGGCGTGAGCGCCCTGAGGGTGATCCCTCAAAGAGGCCTTTTTGTCTATAGGGAATGCTACCCTAGGGTGTTTTTTGTGAACTCGGGTATATTCTCTAATTGTTTCCTTTCGGAGCTGTAATCTGTAATTAAGCCTAACGAGTAATAAATACAATTTATTATTTCCACGGACATTCTGGTAGGTATGATTAGGTAAACAAACGGGTTTGTACAACCCTAATATTTTCATCTCGTAACTCTTACAAAGTATTGCATCCAAAGTGATCACGCCAATCTGTATAAATTCTGAATATCGTAACTTACATTTGCCTTGCTCTCGTCATCAAAACGCTCATCTACAAATATCCGAGCTATGGCGAATTGCATGGTATAGCTAATGTGGTTCACACATGCCTCGCATCGTTCTAACTCTAGTTTGCGTCCAAACATAACAGATGAGTATTCTTCAGCCATGTATCTGAATTCTGAGCTGAGTTTTGTTATAACTTCGGACACAGCTCCCCATACAAGATAGTTTGAAACAGTCCTGATACATTTTCAGAAAATAAAATGCATTAATAAGTAATTTCAGTGGCTTATATGATGTTCTTATACTTCGAGGGGCGTATTCGGACTAAGCGTACTGTAAGGCTGGTCCATGGAAAAATAGTTCAAACAGATCGATAAGAAGTGGCTCGGGCTTTTGCATTAAATTCGTGCTTTGGTGAGTTTTTTTTCTATTCAGGTGTGACATATTTTGTCAGCTTATTCATGTTCTGCATGTGCCAGTCAACTCATGAAGTTTAAAATATGTCATCAGCTCATGCATCTTCAAAATATATGTCCAGTCAACTTTTTCATGTTCAACATGTGTCCGATAAACTAATTATGTTTACAATATGTCCAGTCAACTTCTTCATGTTTAACATGTGTCCGATAAACTAATTATGTTCAAAATATGTCCAGTCAACTTATTCATGTTTAACATGTGTACGATAAACTAATTATGTTCAAATATGTTTAGTCATGGTATTCATGCTCAACATGTGTCCATATTTAACTTAACCATGTTCAACATGTGTCCATTCCTAAAGATGTCATGTACGTTACTTTTTCTAAAAATACATTTCAAATACAAGGGAAAGCGAATTGTGTTATTTTGACATACTTTTGATATGATATTGCGAAATAATTGTTTTATTAATAGAAATGTTGCTTTAACTCCCGAGGTAATTGAAGTACATGTTACGATACACTTAAAGAGCAAATTATATGTTTATATTGTTTGACTGACTCGTACTTTATTCATGTGTACTTGTTAATTCTTATTATCTGTACATGGTTGTCATGTCGACCGTAAGCTGATATTGAGGTGTGATTTATTGAGTACAAACAAAGTAAAGTAGGCGGAAATACTACCTCCAGTCTGTCTAAATGAATGAACAGATTAAAAACATGCTTGAAAATAAAACGCGCTTGTTAGACGATTTATTTCTATAGAAAAAATCAGAATCCGGCTCTGGACAAGACTAGTGAGTTAATCTATTCTGTGCACACCACTCTTTATATGCCAATATTCCACAGTGATTATTATGTATGTCTTTAACAAAGATCGGGAGAAACTTACGCATGTGTCAGATAGCCATTGCGTGTCATTGTTTACAAACAAGCGTCTACCCATGAGTTGTTATCGTCGCTTGGGACTCAATTTCCGCGCGTGCGCAGGTGACGACCCTCCCGCTTTAAGCTTGGACTGCGCGGAATTGTATCTTCAATGCATACATATTAGCATAATAATCTGTTAATTAAGCTTCGTGTTAAATTGTTAGCATGATCGAAATGCATATTTACCAGTGCTTTATTTTTTCTAAAATCAAACTTTTAAAACTCATCTACACTTAATATATAATAACTTGACACTTATCTACACTTAATAGATAATAACTTGACACTCATCTACACTTAATATATATAATAACTTGACACCCATCTACACTTAATAGATAATAACTTGACACTCATCTATACTTAATAAATATAATAACTTGACACTCAT